GGAAAACTAAGCTTTCAGTTGCTTGGAGAGCTATTTTCTACTTTTCTATTCAGAAATGTGGATTATTTGGGTAAATAAATGCCCTTTTGCTGAGAGGAGACAAGAAAAAAGTCTGGTCACTCTGACCGGACCCTCACTTAGTACATCTCTCTGTCTCTTTGCTTTTTGGGCACCTCAAACCTCCCAGAGCTGCTTTAGGTGAGGGCAAGAGCTCACCATGAGTGCTTAGCAATTCATTCAGATTCTCCCCTCTGCCCACTGTAATAACATTTCCCCAGCTCTCTACCATGTCTCATTTTGAACAGAAATAGCTCCCGAATGTATTGAGATCGCAGAATTTTCAAGTTTTTAATGTCCTCCATTTCTTCCAGATGCCCATAGAACCTCCTGCCAATTTGTGTCTTTTTTTTTTTCCAGGAACTTAGGTTTCAGCCAACCAGCATGTCTGCAGCTTCAATTAGGGATTAGGAAGCAATTAGAGTAAGCAAAGAGCAGTACTGGGAAAAGGCCAATGACCTTGAAGTTTTCTCTGGGGAAGCAAGAAACCCACTAAGAGGCAGGACAAGATTTCACTGGCATTACACTGCAAGGTCATCCTAGCATCCCTGTTCTTGCTGATTTTCCCTTAGTAACCTAGGCTACTCTGTGGTTAATTTGTGAATCTAAGAGCTTAATTTAGGTTGAAATTCCCTTTCCTCCTGCAGGGTCTTTGTCCCTCTTCAAGCAGCAGCAGCAAAGTCAGGAGATAACTTGTGAACCAACTAATCTGGACAGGTGTTCATGGGCCTGGGAAAACCCGTGTTCATGGGCCTGGGAAAACCCATGTTCATGACCCAGAATTTACTTCACTTCTTAGTTCCACGTCTTGTTCCTAAACGACATGAGAAAGGAAATTTTGGGTTTTGCATGGGCAAAACAAGGTGTCCTCCCCCTTAGTCTTTTTGTTGGAAGGAGATAAATTAATTTCTGACAGATTTCTGAAATCCAGACTAACTCATCAGATATTCAGCCTAAAATGGGTACACAGTAAATAAAACTTCAGCCCAAACAACAGATATTTGAAAAGCTGTAGGCTAGAAAACCAAAATATACCAAACCTTTTTTGAACCAATCCTACTAAGCTGATAAGTCCATAGCAAAGTGTTGCTCACTGTTGTTCTCCATGGTGTTCTTGTGGGTAAACACCACTCCGTTTATGTGATTAGATAGTCTATATCTGCAAATCCTACCAGGCACACAGTGAACCAGAGGAGGAGGTTTATCTCAGTTCTCAGGCAATCTTGTTCTTTGCGTTCTTCTCCCCTTTGATTTAAGATGTGACAACAGGAAAATAAGCCACCAAAGTTGTCAAATTTAAATGTATCATTTCTCTGCTGTGATTCTTGAGTAGAGGAAACATGAAAAGACAAGTATGTTTCTAAGAAAATACTCCTCAAAAACTAAAACTAAGGAAGTAGAAATTAGAATCTTCATAAAATATATTATCTCTGTGATGATCTCTCTATTTCTGTTGTTGACAAAGTTTACTGAAGTTGACTGAGTTTCCACTGAGATCTCAAAAAATATTTATGTTGTTCTGAGGGGTATTTCATCCAGGCCCCACACAGAAAATCAAGAAAAATAGTTCAAGAGTCATCTTGTCACGCACAGTATTTTGTGTGTCCCACCCTCTGAGAGGTGTCTGAGTCTACACATACTCTGACTCTTTCATTGCTCCAGGGTCTTGGGCCACTTGTCCACACTCATCCTCTCTTGCAGCTTTTGTCATACGCACTGGTATATTTTTCTGTGGAAGCAGAGTGTGTTGGTAAAGGGAGGGAAGGGCTGGCACATGCCCACATCCAGCTCTGATAAAAAACTGGGAAGTGTCTGCCATCTGGGAACTCCCAGATAACTTAGATTAAGTTTATCATAAAAGTAAATATGCAAGTCAGTTCAGGGACTGCACTGTTGCTCCTGCCCTGGACGTAAGCCAACAGAGCCATGTTGATTGCACACCTTACAACACAGCCTTTCTGATTTGCACACCTTAAAACCAAGACAAAGCAAGCAGAGAACTCAACCAGGAACCCACCTTGCTCTGGAAAGGGATGGGTTGTTCCTGCCAAAACAGGAGAAGATCTTAACTTGGAGCTGTGACAGTTTCATAATCGCTTCAGCTCCATAAACCAGGAAAAGAGCACTTTGGGAAAGACCTACTACAGCTCAGACAACAGTGACAGATATTTGAGGTGATGTTACCTGTAATGGTCCAGGAGCTTATAAGAACAACGAAGTCACCTTCTCTGAGGGAACTTCAGGCAGGTGGGATTTTGCTCAGACTATTCTCAGAGTACCTTTTTGGAGGCACACCTGAGAAAAAGGCTTTTTGGTGACTGCATCCTTCCCTGTGACCTTCTCATGCCTCAGCCAAGACCCAGGCCTGGCTGTATCGCAGCCTTCAGGATCCCCCATCCCAAGGAGCAAATCCAAGGATGACAGAGACAGTCAGAGGAACATGGCAGGGGGATGCCCTGCTTTTGTGTTTCCACCAGCTGTGCCTTGCTGAGTGGACCTCCCTCTTGGCTTCTGCAGCAGAGAAGAAGTGTTTCAGGGCAGGGAGCTGGAGTGGACCAGCACAATGGCTGGGTCATACTGGCACTAAGATGTGAAGAGGAGGTTCCCTTCACACCTTTGGCTGCACACTGTGAGTGCTAGGCTGTTGAAAATGCCCCAGCTTTATTTGTGGCCACTCTCAGGCAGCTGTGCCCACAGGCTGGGAAGGCAGGTGCTCTGCCTGGCTGGGTGCACAAGCTCTGCTGCTCAGTCTGCTCTGGCAGAGCTGAAGGAGGCACTGGGTTGCTCAATCCTGGCAAGCCCGGGCACTGAGGCTGAGTGCCGGTGCCTTAGAAGTGCCGAAGAGGAACATCTGGGTGTTTCTGTGGTCGGGTAATAGCTGAATGAAGGCTTTCTTGAGCTGTGCCCTTGGCTTTGCATCAAAATTTAGCTTAAATTCTTTGTTGCATCAACTCCTCATTCTTGCTCGCAGTGCAGCTTCCTGTCCTTGCTATGCACTGTTTTCAAGCTTCTCAGAAGTGCATTTCTTCATTATTTATCTAGTCTGACTGATTGCCTGGGCATTATTTTGTCACTTGTTTGGGACCTCCCCTTTGTCATCTCCTATCACTGTGATGACAACATGAGTACTCCTTGCATGAATGCTTGTGTGAATATAAATTCTCGCCAGCTTTTGCAACGCTTCATGTGTGCCAACATCCAGGGAATGTGTAGAGCTGGGGTAGCAAATGCTGACGCACAGTCTTCCTTTGAACAAAATCTTGAAGAAGATTGTGGGAGATGTCTATATCTGGCTCTAGTTTATCCAGACATCTGCTAGGAGAATGGGACTCTCCAAAAGCAGACATCATTATTAATGAAACTCAGGGTTTGTATGTGTTAGCTGAATTTCACACCTCTTTCCAAGTAATGGGAAAAATATTTAGGCCTGATAATAAGTAACGAATCCAGATATTTTTAAGAAGATGAATGTTTAGCTACTGGTTGTAGATAAATCCTTTTTTAACAAAGCATTTTAAAGAAACTATTTCAGTAGTTTTGGAGTACTGGTCCTAAGATGCTCTCTGAAATTCCAGTTCATCTGTGCTCCAGCAGGGATTTTGCTTAGAGGATGCAAGAAGCAGAATCCAATGTTTGTTTTTTTCTCTGACCTACTGCTGAGTAATTGAATCATCCCAAGCAACAAGCTAATGTTTTTCCTCCCTGGGAGAACATAATGTTACCAGGAAAAGGAGAAGAGGGAAAAAAAATCAAAAAGGCAGCTGCAGATATTTATTCCAAATGCCATACAGTGCATATCTGAGACCAGGAAAGAGCATTTTTGTAGCTGAAGAAAATACTCAAAAATCCAAATGAGCACGGGTGGGTGGTGCTGAGCCCCTGACACCTGCAGGGTCCAGGAGGGTACAGCAGACCTGGCTGATGCCATGGAAATGCAGATAGGCAAAACAAAGAATGTAGGACTTGAGTTCTGGCATATTTTTCAACATTTGCAGGGTACGTACATGAATTATAGATGCTCAGAGGTGCTACAGCAGCAGCTCGACAGACTGGCTATTTCCATACAGCAAACAAGATGCTGAGAGAGGACAACCTGGCCTTATTATGACTTAGTGAGTACCCAAATGAGTATCCATCTTTCAGTGACGTGGCTGAGCTAACTACTTTGAGCCAGGACCTGTTGTGGGTAAGTTTTTAATTCAATGTCCTGCGGGCAGGAAGAGAAATTAGGCAGAAACTCCCATTTCATTGCCCGGGACGGAGGCAGGCAAACTCGTGACAAGTATTGCTGTGTCATCTAGTAGATGCTAAAGTATCAAGCTTTTCTTTGCCCCAGACTGGCTACATGTGGGATTGGACTGCTCTGCTGCAGAGGTGGTAGCCTTATTTGCATGACTAAAATATCAGTCCTAATAATGCTCTAGTACGGATGCATGCACATTTCTTTCATTTCATGTGCTGTTTCTTTCATTTCATCCTTCCTGCAGTGTTGATTTTTAGGGCTGATGCAGTCTGTGGCCTGAAATAGTCATCTGGTCTTTGGTGAGGGAAAAGTTTCTAACCCTTGTTGGCTAGACATGTATTTTATGAACTCTTGTCCCTGTGAGATGGTGGGAAATGAGTGAGTTTTTTTAATTAGGCTGATCTAAACTGATATTGCCATGAATGAAAAAGCCCAGATAGAGAAGATGTGCTAAGTGAGTGGGTAAAGGCCTTTTAATTCACCGCCCTTGAGTGTGTCCAGCAAGATCTCTAACTCCACTTAATGTTGTGGAACTGGACTTTGAGGACAGGGATCTTTGCAGCCTGAACTGCCCTTGTGCCTGTGTGTCTGTGCCCGAGGTGCAAGGGGCAAAAGAAAGGCAGGAGCGAGCCTGTGTGCTGCAGGGCTCAGGGTTTGTGCCGATTGACTTCCACAAAGATGCAGCTAAGGGGGAGAAAGCAAATGTTTATTAATCTAAGGGGAAGGGGAGAGATGAATCTTCTTAACCTAAGGGGAAGGGGAGGGATGAATCTTCTTAACCTAAGGGGAAGGGGAGGGATGAATCTTCTTAACCTAAGGGGATAGAACTGGATGAACTGTGGGCAGGAGAAGGGAATAGGCAGGGAGGGAGGGAGCTGTACAGAGGGATGGAGAGGCCAGGAGCTGCCTGGCCTTGCCGTCAGGCTCAGTTGGGTCCAGCCCAGCACCGCTGAGAAGTGGTGTCTTTGTTGTTGTCCGGTGCTGTTCCAGGCACATTGGTTATCTTGCTGGAGAAGATTACTTAGATACTGCCCGTCGAAAAGCAGACAAGACTGCATTCTTCATGGTGGAGTAGGAGGAGCAGTCGTCTTCGGTCATGGCTTCCAGGGCTGGAAGAGAGAAGAAGGGAGCCACAGTCAGGGCCCAGATCTGTGGGGAGGTGAGGAGCCCCGCCTGCCAGGGCCATCCCAGCCAGCTCTTGCCATGGCCAGGAGGGAGCATGGCCCACCAGGATGAGCCAGAAGGTGCTGGCCCTCAATCCCTCCCATGACCCTGAAATGTGTCTCTGCTCTGCCCGCAGCTCCCCTCCTCCATGCAGGGAGCAGAGCCCTGTGCGGGTGGGGCAGGGATTGCAGCTCCATGCCCAGAGTCTGTGCTCCTCCCCACCAGCCTGCAGGGACACCCTGCTGTCCTCACTCACCCTTCATGACGGGATGCAGGTCTTGCATGTGCCATGCGGCGACCCCTGGGAACAGAGAGCGTGTCAGGGCCCCAGCGGCGCAGCTCCCCCCAAGCACTGCTGTGGCCTGCTCCCCCCTCAGCCTGGCCACAGAGCATCCAGGGCCTGGCGGGGCTGAGCTCGGGGCCTTCCCGCATCGGGACACTCAAGGGGGTGGCTGGCAGAGGGTGGCAGCAGCCGCCAGGGCACTCGGGACTCCACAGCACATCCCTGGGCTGCATCCTGCTGCCGCTGCAGCAGCCGGGGCTGGGGCCGAGCTGTAGCAGGGTGGGGAGGGACCGCGGGTTTGTGGCTCACCCATGAACCTGACGGCTGCCTCTCTCAAGGGCTGCTGTGGGCTCTGCAGATATGGCAGGGCTTGGCGCAGGTGCTCATCCCTTCGGCTGACGTCCTTGTCCATCTGGAGAGAGCAGCAGGGCATGGAGGGAAGGGTTGGCTGAGGCTCTGCCCCTTGGCCGGGCGCTGCCTCTGCCCAGCAATGGCCTGCCCTGCCCACAGAGCCCTGTGGCATGGTGGTGCTGGGCTTTGGAGGGAGCAGAGGGCTGGGTGCTCCTGGGGAGCCATGGGGCTGCCCTGCCCCACGGCCCAGCTGGGCCAGGGCTCCAGCAGCCCCCTGACTCGGGGGCAGAGGAGCCTGGAGAAGAGCCTGCAGAGCCAAAGGAAGGCAGCAGTGTGTGGTACACAGGCTGGTGTCCCACAGGTGTGTGCAGCAGTGGGCAGGGGCACAGGGCCAACCCCACACCCTGGGCATCTGGGGCTGGGGGCTTGTCCAGCCTGGGGCTGGGCCTTGGGGGTCGTCCTTACCAGGCAATCGCAGAACTTGATGGGCTGCTGTCTCCTCAGCACCTGCTCGAGATCCCTCCTCTTGAGGAAACTTGCAGCACAAAGCAGTGTTTCCCGAGAGGCCTGCAGAGCAGCAGAGAGTGGGACATGGCATCACAGCCCAGGGCACAGCACCTGCGGCCCTGGGCCAAAGCCAGGAGGAGGCTGGAGCCTGCGAGGCACCAGGGCAGGAGATGGCCGAGCCCCCAGCCACAGGGACACCAGAGCCCACAAGTGCTCACCTCTGCCACGCACTGGTTCTCATCGTGCAGATGGAAGAATAGGGGGACCAGGCTCTGGTGCACCTGCGTATTCAAGGTCTTTGGTCCCTCTTCTGCAAGCAACTCCATCACCTCTTGGAAGAGGCGAATGGAGAGCAGCTGCACGTGGGTGTTGTCCTGGTACAAAAGAGGAGAAAAAGACCTGAGCACTGGCTGCTGCAGGCCCAACAGGCATAGGCACAAGCCTGAAAATCCACAGGGCACAAAGTTTCCAGGCAGCACCAGGCACCCAGAGCCTTACGTTATCAAAGAGTGGCCAGAGCGCCTCAGCCAGCTTCGGGGCAGTGGAGCTGAATGCTTCGATGTCCTTGTCCTGGAGCATATTCAGGAACACAGAGAGGGTCATGGCGACCACATCTCCGTCTCCATCATGAAGCAGCTCCACGAGGCGCTCAGCCAGGCTGCAGATGCTTTCGGCCTGTGTGGAAGACAGTGCTGTGCTGTGAAGCCCTGAACAGCTGCACCACCAACAGCTCTCTGGCAGTGCAACCCCAGCTGCTGCCCCAAAGGCCTGTCCCACAAGGCCCAGGCAGCTGAAGAGGGAGGCAGGAGAGCTGGGAGCAGCTGCCACAGCTCCCAAAGCCCAGCCAAGCCCAAGAGACTGAGCTCCCCAGCCCCAGGCTGCCAGTATGGCTTCAGCCAGGTGTCCCCTTCTCACCATTGAGGGATCCACACTGAGCACCAGGAGTCCTCTGAGTGCCAGGCGACGGCTGTCAGGGCACTGGTTCTGCAGGTGCCTTGATAGGATTGGCAGGACGCTCTCATGACATCTTCTCCCGTCCACATAGTCCAGGAGCTGGAAGGCAGAGAGCTGTGATGAGGTGCCCGGGCTGCAAAAGCCCAGATCCACCCAAGGCTGGGCCCAGGCAGCAGCAGAGGTTGTAGGCACCATCCTGGGCAGCTGAAGCTGTGAGAGGGCAGAGATGAGAAGGCAGGTGGGTGAGGCAGTGCTCGCCATCAGGCTCACCTCAACAAGGAAGGCCAGGGCAGGCAGCTCCCAGTGGGGCTCCTCCCTGCTGAGCAGCCTGAGCAGGTGGGTTGCGATCAGGGAATAGAAGGGAATCAAAACACTGCGCATCTCCCTGTCAAGAAAAAAAAAGAGCCATCGATCCTGAGCAGGGTGGGCAAAGATCTTCCAGGACAGACACCCAGAGGCCTGGTCTTTCTCCTGTAGCCCTGCATGGACACAGGCTCTTTGGGAGGTGGCTCTTCCTGTGCACCCTCCTCTCGCTTCCTTTTCCTAACTGCTCGTCCATCCCTTGGTGCCAAGATTCTCTGGCCCATGACCACAGGGGCTGTGTGGGGTGCCCCGTGCCCAGGGGAGAGATGATGGTGGCAGCAGGGAGAAGGGTGTCTCACCTGGCCAGCAGCCCCACTGCATAATGGTGGGTGTCAGGATGGAGGAGGGTGTCCCAGCCACGCTTGCATTCCATTGCCACCATCGCATCCTCCCAGTGTAGACAGCAGAGCAAGGCCTTGATGGTCTGTACTGCAAACCTGTGTGCAGAGCAAAGGCCAGGTCATGCTGGGGGCTGTGGCTCTAGCTCTGAGGGCATGGGAGGGAGAGAGGACTGGGATGGAGCACCTGTTGGGGTCGTTGGGAAGGTCATGTTGCTCCTGGCATTGCCTCCAGAAGGTCTTGACCTCCTCTGGCATCTGCTCTGTGCTCATGTAGACTTGGAAAAGCAGAGCCACGAGGAGTTGGGGGGCATAAATCATCAGTGCATCTTGACACTGGGGCTCCTGGATGATCATCCGCAGTGCCAGGGTTGCCTGCAATAAAACCATGTGGAGACAGCGCTCAGTGGCCAGATGTCCATGTGGCAGGACCTGAGCATGGGAGGGAGAGGGCAGGGGAGACGCAGGGGGAGGAGCCGGCCTGGTGGCCCTGAACCTGCCCCTCAGCCAGCTTTGCAGCCCAATGCCTGAGGCAGGGAGATGCAGTGGTGGAGGAGGATGGAGAGTCACTGGAGAGGTGACCTGGGGAGGAGCAAAGGCCAGTTGCAGAAACTCACAGCCAGGGCAAAGACGTCTTTGTTGTCGCCATCAGAGGAGGACAGGCTGTACAGTGGCCAGTCCTCCATCACTTGCAGCAGTGTTGGGAGCACCTTCTCTGCTGTCGTTCCTGAGGAGGCGATGGTCCTCCAGATCATTGCAGCAGCTCTGTGGAGCCAGAGCCCTGTGTCAGGGAGCTCTCGGCCACAGTGCCCTGGCCTGGGCAGCTGTGGGGGCCCAGGTGACAGAGTCACGGTGCCTTGAGGGGCAGGGAGGGCACGTGTCAGCAGGATTGGGGGCTGACATGCCAGGGCTGGGAAATGGAGGGGCCAGAGGGTCCTGGAAGTCTCCATGTGTCTGTGAGAGCAGGTGTGACAGGCTCTCTGGGGTGATGGGTTCTAAAGGCTGGTGAGCCCTGAGCCAGGAGGGCAGCTGGACCCTGTACCTGTCACACGCCGGGGCACAGTGCAGGAGAGACATCACCACGTGACGAGGGTGTGCACCAACCAGGCTGAGAATGTTAGCGTGGAGGCTGACATCTGAAGACACATGGAACGTGAGGCACTGGTGGATGTACCTCATGATGGCTGGCACCTGGAGGGAGAATGGGGGAGAGCTGGAGAGCTGCCAGAGTGAGCAAGTTGCCCAGGTTCCCCCGAGAAATGCTTCCCCTCCCTTTACAGTGTGCTGGCCTGAAAGGCTTAGGGGACCAGCAGACGCAGCTTGAGATGCCACAAGACCCCTGGGGGATTCCAGCTGTTGCCACTGGCTGCTTACTTGCTTCTGATTGGGAATATCTTTCTCCTTGACAAATCTAAATTGGGGGCTGTGTTGGGTTCCTGTGGCCAGGTCTTGCTAGCAGGGGGACTACAGGGCTGGCCTCTGTTAGAAGCTGCTTGAAGTTTCCCCCCGTTTGGCAGAGCCAATGCCAGCCATCTCCAGGATGGACCTGCTGCTGGACAAGGCTAAGCCAATTAGTAACAACAGTAATGCCTCCATGATAACATATTTAAGCAAGGAAAGAAAGTTATTGCACAGATGAAAATTTTAGGCAGGGAAGAGCAGAGTGAGAAGATGGGAACAAGGTAGACACCAAAGTCAGTGCAGAATGAGGGGCAGGAGGTGCTCCAGGCACCAGAGCTGAAGTTCCCCTGCAGCCCCTGTTGCAGACCATGGTGAAGCAGCTGTGCCTCTGCAGACCATGGAGGAGAAGCGGGCTGCAGAGATCCACCTGCAGCCCATGGAGGAGCCAGAATAGAGTGAGTGGATGCCCAAAGGAGGCTGTGACCCTGTGGGAGGCCCATACTGGAGCAGGGTCTTGTCAGGGGCCTGCAGCCCATGGAGAGAATAGCCCACGCTGGAGCAGGTCCTTGGCAGGACTTGTGGCCCTGTGGGGGACCCAAGCTGGAGCAGCTTGCTCCTGAAGGACTGCACCCCATGGAAATGGGATCCGCGTGGCAGCAGTTTTGTGAAGAATTGTTGCCCATGGGATGGACTCATGCTGCAGAGGTTCCTGAAGGAGTGTCTGCTGTGGGAGGGACCCCAGAGGAAGCAGGGGAAGGAGTCCTCTCCCTGAGCAGCAGCAGAAACAACAGACCATAAGGTTCATTCCCTGTCTCCCTGCACTCTTTGGGGAAAGAGGAGGTAGAATTTGGAAGGAAGGAGAGGTGGGGAGAAGTTTTTAGGTATTTTTTCTTCTCACTGTATTGCTCAGATCGTGTTAGTAATAAATTTAGTTAATATCTCCACTTTGAGTCTGTTTTGCCCATAATGGTGATCAGTAAGTGATCACTCTCAGCTCTTAACTCCTGAATCCTTTGTTGGATTTTCTCTGCTCTATCCAGTTGCAGAGAGGAGTGAGGGAGAGGCTTTAGTGGGTACCTAGCATCCCTGAGAGGCCTGCAGAGCAGCAGAGACCAGGACATGGCATCACAGCCCAGGGCATAGGATGTGTGTCCCTGGGCCAAAGCCAGGAGGAGGCTGCAGGAGACAGCTGAGCCCCCTGCCACAGGGACACCAGAGCCCACAAGTGCTCACCTCTGCCACACACTGGTTCTCATTGTGCCAGCGGAAGAACAGTGGCACGAGGCTGTGATGCACCTGTGTATTTGTTCCCTCTTCCACAAGCAACTCCATGACCTCCTGGGAGAGGCGAACGGAGAGCAGCTGCACATGGGTGTTGTCCTGGTGTAAAAGAGAAGAAAAAGGCCTCAGCACTGGCTGCTCCAGGCCCAGCAGGCATAGGCACAGGCCTGAAAATCCACAGGGCACAAAGTTTCCAGGCAGCACCAGGCACCCAGAGCCTTACGTTATCAAAGAGTGGCCGGAGTGCCACAGCCAGCTTCGGGGCAGTGGAGCTGAATGCTTCGATGTTTTTCTCCCGGAACATATTCAGGAACACAGAGAGGGTCATGGTGACCACATCTCCGTCTCCATCATGAAGCAGCTCCACGAGGCGCTCAGCCAGGCTGCAGATGCTTTCGGCCTGTGTGGAAGACAGTGCTGTGCTGTGAAGCCCTGAACAGCTGCACCACCAACAGCTCTCTGGCAGTGCAACCCCAGCTGCTGCCCCAAAGGCCTGTCCCACAAGGCCCAGGCAGCTGAAGAGGGAGGCAGGAGAGCTGGGAGCAGCTGCCACAGCTCCCAAAGCCCAGCCAAGCCCAAGAGACTGTGTTCCCCAGCCCCAGGCTGCCAGTATGGCTTCAGCCGGGTGTCCCCTTCTCACCATTGAGGGATCCACACTGAGCACCAGGAGTCCTCTGAGTGCCAGGCGACGGCTGTCAGGGCACTGGCTCTGCAGGTGCCTTGATAGGATTGGCAGGACACTCTCATGACAGTTTCTCCCCTCCACATAGTCCAGGAGCTGGAAGGCAGAGAGCAGTGATGGGGTGCCTGGGCAGCAGGAGCCCAGAGCCGCAGAGGGCTGGGCCCAGGTAGCAGCACAGGTCCCAGGTACCATCCTGGGCAGCTGCGGCTGTGAGAGGGCAGAGAGGGGGGAGGCAGGTGGGTGAGGCAGTGCTTGCCATCAGGCTCACCTCAACAAGGAAGGCCAGGGCAGGCAGCTCCCAGTGGGGCTCCTCCCTGCTGAGCAGCCTGAGCAGGTGGGTTGCGATCAGGGAATAGAAGGGAATCAAAACGCTGCGCATCTCCCTGTCAAGAAAAAAAAAGAGACATTGATCCTGAGCAGGGTGGGTAAAGCTCTCCTAGGACTGATTCCCAGAGGCTTGGTCTTTCCCCACCAGCCCTGGATGGGACACGAGAGTTTTGGGAGGTGGCTCCTCCTGTGCACCCTCCTCTCACAGCCTTTTCCTAACTGTTCATCCCTTGGTGCGAAGACCCTCTGGCCCATGACCACAGGGGCTGTGTGGGGTGCCCCGTGCCCAGGGGAGAGATGATGGTGGCAGCGGGGAGAAGGGTGTCTCACCTGGCCAGCAGCCCCACTGCATAATGGTGGATGTCAGGATGGAGGAGGGTGTCCCAGCCATGCTTACGTTCCACTGCCACCATCACATCCTCCCAGTGTAGACAGCAGAGCAAGGCCTTGATGGTCTGTACTGCAAACCTGTGTGCAGAGCAAAGGCCAGGTCATGCTGGGGGCTGTGGCTCTAGCTCTGAGGGCATGGGAGGGAGAGAGGACTGGGATGGAGCACCTGTTGGGGTCATTGGGAAGGTCATGTTGCTCCCGGCATTGCCTCCAGAAGGTCCTGACCTCCTCTGGCATCTGCTCTGTGCTCATGTAGACTTGGAAAAGCAGAGCCACGAGGAGTTGGGGGGCATAAATCATCAGTGCATCTTGGCACTGGGGCTCCTGGATGATCATCCGCAGTGCCAGGGTTGCCTGCAATAAAACCACGTGGAGACAGCACTCAGTGGCCAGATGTCCATGTGGCAGGACCTGAGCATGGGAGGGAGAGGGCAGGGGAGACGCAGGGGGAGGAGCTGGCCTGGTGGCCCTGAACCTGCCCCTCAGCCAGCTTTGCAGCCCAATGCCTGTGGCAGGGAGATGCAGTGGTGGGGGAGGATGGAGAGCCACTGGAGAGGTGATCTGGGGAGGAGCAAAGGCCAGTTGCAGAAACTCACAGCCAGGGCAAAGACGTCTTTGTTGTCGCCATCAGAGGAGGACAGGCTGTACAGTGGCCAGTCCTCCATCACTTGCAGCAGTGTTGGGAGCACCTTCTCTGCTGTCGTTCCTGAGGAGGCGATGGTCCTCCAGATCATTGCAGCAGCTCTGTGGAGCCAGAGCCCTGTGTCAGGGGGCTCTCGGCCACAGTGCCCTGGCCTGGGCAGCTGTGGGGGCCCAGGTGACAGAGTCATGGTGCCTTGAGGGGCAGGGAGGGGCAGGGAGGGCACGTGTCAGCAGGATTGGGGGCTGACATGCCAGGGCTGGGAAACAGAAGGGCCAGAGGGTCCTGGAAGTCTCCATGTGTCTGTGAGAGCAGGTGTGACAGGCTCTCTGGGGTGATGGGTTCTAAAGGCTGGTGAGCCCTGAGCCAGGAGGGCAGCTGGACCCTGTACCTGTCACACGCCGGGGCACAGTGCAAGAGAGACATCACCACGTGACGAGGGTGTGCACCAACCAGGCTGAGAATGTTAGCGTGGAGGCTGACATCTGGAGACACATGGAACGTGAGGCACTGGTGGATGTACCTCATGATGGCTGGCACCTGGAGGGAGAATGGGGGAGAGCTGGAGAGCTGCCAGAGTGAGCAAGTTGCCCAGGTTCCCCTGAGAAATGCTTCCCTTCTCCCCACACTGTGCTGGCCTCAAAAGCTTAGGGGTCCAGCAGACGCAGCTTGAGGTGCCACAAGACCCCTGGGGGACTCAAACCCTGGCCACAGACTGCTTACTTGCTTCTGACTGGAGACACCTTTTTCCTTGAAAAAGTCCAAATTGGGAGCATCAGTCACACTGTGTGTGGGTGTGGTGTCAGCGTTCCCGATGCTCTCAGTCGTTGTGGTGTCGGACTTTTCCATGACATCAGTCGGTGTGGTTTCAGCATTTGTTACTTCATCAGTCATGGCAGTGCCAGAGATTCCTGTGCCATCCATTGTTGCCGCGTCAAGGTTTGATGTGTCACCCATTGGCATCGGTGCGATGTCAGCCTTTGCCATGAGATCAGTCGGTGCTGTGCCAGAGGTGGTTGTCTCATCAACCAAAGCGGTGTCCAAGTTTGCTGCACAATGAATCGGTGCGATGTCAGCCGTCGCCATGAGATGGGTCAGTGTGGTGATAGGGCTTGTCAGGTCATGGGTCAAAGCAGTGTCAGAGGTTGCCGTGGGATCTGTCAGCGAGGAGTCGACATCAGGCTTTGCCTTGGGGTCGTTTGGCCTGGTGTCAGGCTGTGCCGTGCCCTCAGGTGGTGTGGTCCTGGGTGTTCTACGCCGAATCCCTATGAATTTCAGAAACCTCTGCAGGAGAAGAAAGGGCAGGGAAGAGAGGAAATTCCGATGGAGTGCTCCAACAGCAGTGCTCCAACCGCAGTGAGTGGTGACAGCAGGCGCAGCCCAGGTGGAGATGGCTGCAGGTACCTGAACTGCTCTACGGAAGCGGCCGCGGGCACGGACGTGCTCTTCTGTCCGGTGCTGGCCTGGATCTGCCAAAGAACAATTGCAGTCAGGGCTGCGGGGTTGTGGGAGATGGCAGAGAACACAGCCCGGCCCTGTGCTCCACAGGCAGGGCCAGCATTGGGATGCCCAGGGGATGGAGCACGGATGCTGGGGGGATCAGCCTTGGCCCCTCTTCCCCCCTCCCTTTGCCTGGGCTTGTTCCACAGGGGACAGGAAGGGGCCAAACTGGCTGCAGCCACCAGCCCTGTGGCCCAGCTCCAGCACTCACCCTGCTGCAGGGGCTGGAAGTTTTGCATCTCCTCAGGTTGCCGTGCTGGGGCAGGCCCAGGGCCTTCGTTCTTCTTCCTGAGAAGCCTGCACAAGCCGGAGCGTCTCCCCGCCATGCCGCAGTCTGGCCTCGAGGGCACCTGCAGGAGAGAAACCTCGGAAAAGCCCCTGGTCACAAGTTCTGCAGAATGGCCCCAAGGGCACCTTTCACAGGGATTGGAGACCCCTCAGACAAGCTGTGGGTCCCCAAGTCCTGTGGTTTGGCCTCAAGAGCACCTTCCACAGGGACTGGAGATGCCTCAGACAAGCTGCGGGTCCCCAAGTCTCGTGGTGTGGCCTCAAGGGCACCTTCCACAGGGACTGGAGACACCTCAGACAAGCTGTGGGTCCCCAAGTCTCGTGGTGTGGCCTCAAGGGCACCTTCCACAGGTAGTGATGATGCCTCGGAGAAGCTCCGGGTCACCAACTCCCGTGGCCTGGCCTCGAGGGCACCTTCCACCAGGAGTGGTGGTGCCTCGGAGAAGCTCCGGGTCACCAACTCCCGTGGTCTGGCCTCGAGGGATGTTGCTAGAAGAAGAATCCTCGGAAATGCTTCGGGTCAGTGAGGAACGAGTTGTCTGTGAGGAAACTCCTCACAGCACCGCTCTGTCCCGTCCTGTCCAGACGCGTGCTCCGAGCACAGTGGCGTGGCCGTGTTGCCGCCAAACACCTATATCAGGACGTGTCACAAAGGGCCCTTGGACACACTGCCCCATCCCATTGGCGATGACCACCGTGTCACAAAGGGCCCTGTGACACACTGCCATGTGCCCAGGGGCCTCCCCCAGCCCAGCCAACCTGCCCCAGGTTGCAAGGAATCCATTCCCTAAAGTGTCTCAGACAGCTGGACGTGAACTTTAGGAACGTCTCCAAAAAGGAGCAAAGACTTCCTCCTGTGCCTGCTCATGGCAGCAGAAGCAGCCCCCTTGGCTGCAGATGTAGCCGCAGCGGGAAGGGCACGGGGCCTCCACAGAAGTTGGCATGGCCTCCTTGGGAGAAATCCTGGCTGGTGGCCATCACAAACACAGGGGTGTTACACAGAGAAGCAAATATGTGGGCAAGGGCACGAATGCTGCTCTGACCCCTTTGGCCAGGGCTGCACCGAAATTGGCAGGTCTGGCAAGTCCCTGCCAAAGGAGACCTGCCACTGCCCCAAGTCCTGGCAGGAGTGGTGCCCATCTCCTGTCCCAAAGACTTGTGCCCCTGTGGACTTCCCTGCCAGAGGGCAGCCAGAGCCAAGAAGCATTGATGTCTGCGCTCTTGCAGGGGGCTGTTGGGAGGAGCTGCTGCAGCAATTGGTGGCACTGCTTGGCATCTGCCAGAGGGCAGAAGCTGTGGCTCCTTGCTGGAATGATTTCTCCATGGCAGTGATTACCTGCAGCACAAAAACCTCTTTGCTGTGAAGGCACAGAAGAATTTGGCATTTAATAATCCTAAATTCAGGAAAGCATTACTTCCCATTACAAAACACAAGGAGTTGAAAGACGTTGCAAACTTCCCAATTTAACTTCATTGGGAGGACCGGAGAATGTCACATATTTGGAATTTTTGCTTCCCCTCTCATACCTGCAACTCATTTGCCTTCACATAGTCCATGGAGAGTCAGTTTCAGAAAATGAACAGAGGCACCAAAACTGAGTGTTGTTCGGTTTGCAAACTGTTTTCTATTAAGGGATAAGAATAGACTATTTCTGGTAAGGGGTAAAAGCTCTCAAGGAACAAAAGTTCCCTCAGTGTTACAAAAAACAGCCCAAACAAGTAAGGATCTTGCTAAAACACTAATTCTCCCTCTGGCGCAGATAGCTAACTGGCCAGGAAAGCCTTTGAAGAGCTCTAAGCAAAGTAAAATCTGTATTGGATGATTGGGAGTTTAGAGAGCGAGTGCTCCAGCCTTTCTAAGGCCTTCCACCTCATCCTGTGGACACTCAGGCGGGTGCTTTTAAAGTTCAGGCTGTCTTGAAACCTTGCCTGCAGCCATGAGCGAGCCCCGGTGAAGTCTTCTAAGAATTGTGGGTTTCCCTTGGTGGTCAGAGTGGATTCTCTCCCGGGACTGACTCTCAGAGGCCCGGTCTTTCCCCACCAGCCCTGGATGGGACCTGTGTGCTTTGGGAGGTAGATCCTGCTGTGCCCAGTTGGGGCTGGCTGGCAGTGGTTCCATTCCAAGAGGTCCCATGTCACTGAGCTCTTCCACCCCTTGTAGTGTTAGTAGGTGATCCTGATGGCCATGCATTTGCTCTGCTGTACCAGCTCAGCTAAGGTAGAGTGCATCTCTGAAGTTGTACCACTGTGGCCGCTGTGGTTTCAGCTGAGCTGCATCAGTAAGAGATTTTTCTGGGCTTCTAGTCACGTCAAGCACCAGCACAGAGTGCACATGGCAGATGTGGTGGGGGATGCAGATTACTGTCTTCAGCATGTGGGTGAGGAGCAGAATCAGCTCAGATGAGGATCCAGATCCAACCCTTGATATTAAACAGCCCTGAACTCCAAGATTTATTTCAGAATAATGCAATCAGTGCTTAACTAAAGAGTTTTAATGGGAAAACATTGCAAAGGTGCTACCAGGGTTAAAGTGCAAATACAGTTCGTGAGCAACTCTGCTTTAGCAGGGGTTTAGCTGTAATTTGTTCACTGGGCTGACAACATACCCATCTTCCCAGAAGGAACTGCGAACTTCCCAGTTCTTCAGACCTCTTGTGTACTGTGATTTGACAATACTGTAAATCCAGCTTTAGGGTTCCCAGAACCAGAAAAAAACCCCCAGAATCCTATGCCCCAAAGTGCTGATGTTGCTGCATAGATTCCCTCTGCCTGTCTGAGTGTGCACTGAGGGGACTGCTGGTGTAGCATTGCACAGATGAGTTTTGTGGCACATCTCTTGTCACTTGCCTTCCTTCAGCTGGAGAAACAACCAGCTCAGGCTCTGACCTGTGCTTTCTGGCTAGCTGGAGAGATCAGATCTGGCTTCTGCAGATCCCATTCACACCGCTGAGAAATGGGGTACAGCGTGGGGCAGCTGCATCCAGTGCTGCAAAGCTGCCAAAAAACAGGCACAGCTCAGCTCCATGCTCTGGGGAAGGAGGAGAGGCAGACAGGGAGCTGGTACGGGGGGTTTCTCTGCTCACTGGCACCCAGTGATGTCCCCTTCTCCTGGGATGCTGAGGGGGCTTCACTGACTCCCCCTATCCCCAGGTCTCCCCTTGTCCCTTCTGTGGTGCAGGGCTGGGAGCTCCCCCCTTCCACAGGCTGTTTTGGCAATCTTCTCTGAGCTGTATTGTGGCTCCTGCCACTTGATATGTTCCAGGCTTATGGGCCTGGAAAACAACAGCAGGTGACTTTGGGAGGATACTGGACATAGGACCAACAAAGCCCCATGGAGGACTTTGGTTTTTATCTTCAAAGGTGTGTTTCAGCCCACAGGGGATGTCCGTGGCAAAATTCCCTGTGCTTCCATGGGGAGTGCCCCTGAGCGGGGGTTAATCTTCAAGTGCTTTGCCTGCTGCTGCCAAAACCACCTCTCCCAGGTGACAGGCCTAGCCTTTAAGAAGGGGTGCCCCATTGCTCATGTGGCACATAGGAGCCTCTAGTACCGTGGTGCCAGGGCTGACTCTCCTCAGATTAACACTCATGAGGGTGCTAGTAAGGTCCTGAGCATTCCTGATCTGAAGCATTGATGGCCCTGGCAGAGAGTCAGCTGCAAGTGGAATAAACCCTTTCCTCAGGGACTAATTGCTGGCGGCCAGTCCAGTCCATGGTACAGCAAGTAAGGCTTAGTGATGAAACCAGGCTGCCTGTGCCAGGACTGCCAGCAGCAGGGAGAGGGCTGAGTACTGCTAAAAGACATCTGGTGCAATATCCTGGGAAGTGTGGCAAAGGCACACTTTTTTGGGACCAGTCAGGCCTGGTTTCAGCAGGGATTACTCACAAGACTGATCTGAACAAGTTTCTCATCTGTGTGCCCCATTGAGTAGCAAGTGTTGAGGGTGTTTTGGGGCATCCAGCCATGGTTAGCAGCTGGTTTCCCCTTGAGTGGATTTGCCCTGGTTTGAACTTCTCCCATGCTGCCCTTGGAAGATCACCAAGTGAAGAGTGCAGCAGTACAGTTTCAGCTTGGTATTGTCAAATGGGTCCAATTGCTTTCCTATTATTTTGGCTGACAAAGTCAGTTGTACCCTTTAACTGTCACAGTTTCCAGCAAGCTGTCTGCTCGTCTCTACACCTAAATGTCATCAGCAGTGACATGGATCCCTGAGAGTCTTGTTAGTGTGTCTTGCTGGCAGCATCTCTACTTTTGATCCCAAATGACAGTCTCAGCCATCTGTACTTAGATACTGGTACTCAGAACAAGGCACGGAGTCCACTTTCATCGCCTAATAGCTCATGCCAATCTCCAACATTGCCATTCATCACTGGGGATATCTTTTTTTACCCTTTTGTCAAGTCAGGTAAGGTTTCTTTCATGGTAGACACTTGGATGGAGGTTGTTTAGTGCACTATTTAGCTTGCTTGGGTCTGTTCAAGTGCACAGCTCATTTGCTGCCATGATAACTGTGCCATGGCTAGAGACTTCCTTGGGCTTCCTTTGGCATTTGTTGTGTTGCTCTTATTATATTTTCTCTTAACATGCTGTGTAGTCAGGGAGGTACCTACTGACTGCTCATGTGCTTGAAGACTGGAGCCTTTTAGCACCTTGGATGTGAGGAGGTTGGGGATGTAGTCTGCTTTGGTCTCATGTTTTTATTCTGCTCATGTTTTCATTCTGCCCATGTTTTCGTTATATGAATATTTCATTCCAAGTCTGGCCTCACTTGGATTACAAAATTACACGATTTTACTGAAGCTGCTATATCCAATACCAATGGCAGACCTATTGCTTCTTCTTCCCATTTCAGGCTTATCATGTCCCAGATCTGGGACTCAACTGCTCACTTGGTGCCGTGTGGCAGCTGTCTCTCAGGCAGCTATGCAGCATGTGGGGACACCTCTCCAAGCCCCGCTCACTGATGGTGATATATCCAGTTGTCTCCCGTGCTGCCAAAGAAGGTACTTTTAGAAGGTCTGAACATCTTGTGTGTAATTTAGAATCTCCTCAGGGGTATTTGGATCCTGCCAAGCTTTAATTTTGCTTTGCCTAATTGCAGGTTTGGTTTGTTTTCTGTGTGATGCTGAGAAATGCCTGGGAACTCACCCTGCTCACCATCAGTCCCTTTGCTTGTTTATCATCTGCTTTTTTTCTGATTTCGTATCACTTCAAATCAGTATTAATTCTTCCTCCCTCTTTCCTGAAGCTTTGACATAATGATTTTTTGCAGTAATTACTGTTGGTGACCACTGTCATTTGCTGATATACTCTGCCCTTTACCATTCAGAAGTAAAGCATTTGTGGTGCATTTTTTTAACACCAGATTTTCCTCCTCTGCTTTGTCCTTTGTCCTCCTCTGCATTTCCTTGTAAATAACTTCTGGTGCTGTTTTTCCATGTGTTTCTTGGCTTTTCCAGGCCTGCTTAGTGAACCAGCTCTGTGTCTGTTTCTTGCAGGCTGCCTTTGGAGATCTTCTTAATGATATCTGTGCACATCTCCAGGTCTTGGGTGGTAAGCGAAGATCCTTGGAGCATTTCTGAGCACTGCCCTGGTATTGTCTCTGCTGCC